GGTGTACAAAACTCGGATGCTATTAGCTGGCTCAGGCTCCACCTGTGCCCAGTCACGCTGCCGAGTGGACAGAACTGAGAAAGGAGCCGCGTTTGCAAACAGCGTTCCGTGCATTCCTGCAGACCAGTGCCCAGAGGAAAGCGCCCAGATGCGGGCACTCTCACTGTGCGTGCAGGGCCAGCCACCGGCACAGCAGTGCCCTGACGTGCACTCGGTCCTCCCGCTGTCCTGTCCCGACCTCCGGCCTCCTGATGCGGGACAGGGCCGTGCATTGGCCCCAGTGCACAAAACTCACCTGAGAACTACTATAAATACCCAAGTTTAATTTGCCCAGACAGTGTTTTCTTTTTTTAAAGATTCTTGGTCCAACTGTACCCCTGGCTAAGGCCCAGGCTTGAGAGCTGAGGCCCCACAGACCGTGAGGACCACCCACAGGGTTCTCAGTGTGGTCCCAGAGCAGCTGCTGCCCCGAGCCTGTCAGAAACGTCCTCGGCCCAGCAGTCGTGTTTTAACAAGCCCAGGCAGTTCTGACGCTGGCTCAGATTGGAAGCGCAGCCGCGGGCAGGAGAAGGGACAGCACAGGAAAGCCTCCCAGTGGAGGTTTTCTTGCAGGTGATCCCCCTTGGGCATGCCAGGATGCTCCTCGCCTTCACCTGCACTGTCACTGTCACGGCTCCGCTTCCGGGTCCTGCACAGGGAGGGACCTGCCCCCCTCGGGGCCTTTGCAAGTTTGGGACTCCATCTGACACTGTTGCACACGCGTATACACACAGCACACTGAAGCAACATGTGATTTCTTTCCACAAAAGTGGTACGTGCCTCGCATCCTCTTTGCTTTGCATCTAACATGTCACTCACTGCTTCTTGTTGCTCATGCAGAGTGTCGACATCGTGACTGCACAGCACTCCACAGAGTGACTGAGACACGGACAAGCCGCCCATTCGTAAACCCTCAATATTCACATTTATGACATAAACAAATAGCAATGAAATAATTGTTTGATAGGAAATCTAGTTATTCAGTAGTTAATAAGGGTCAAAAAGTGCTTGGACTTTTATCCTGTCCTATCCTTTTAGAAGGGACTGTAATTCTTTCCCAGTTGATGGAGAAAAGCTCTTTTTTATGGAGTATGCTAATTAATAAGTGGGTACAGACCGATCAGAATGTAAACAGTCAACATGTTTTCACCTCCAAAGACATAACTGATCCAAGCACAAATCACCAGCAGATGCTAGAATCTACACAGAGCTAGCAGCCCAGACGGCCTCCCAAGTGCAAAGTAAAACAACAACAAAGACTCTCATATGCGAGGTTCTGGAGGTCACTTCACCACGTGATCACACAGCCCGGAACGGCCCGGACCGGGCAAGTGGCCTTGTGTGCGGGGAGATGCTCAGGCAGCAGAAGCCTCACCCGCACGTTTTCTTCCCCAAAGCGTTGAGCCTGGATCTAACCAAGCCTTTAGATACTAAACCCAGTTTGAAGGAAATCGAACAGAGGAAGAATTCAGCACCCAGAGCAGACACGGAGACAAATCCAGAATGTGGGACTGCAAGATAACAAACCAGCCTGCTGAAAACTGTGTCCAGGAGGCTCCGGCCAAGTGCTCACATACAACTGCACTGAGACGGGTCCCCAGAGCAGGTCCCGTAAGGCTGTAAGCACAGACACAGCTGCAACAACTGCGGCAAAAGTCACTGAGTCCGGGCAGAGGCAGGGGGCGCGCTTCCCTCCCTCCCTTACTTGGATTTTCTGCTCAGAGCCTCCTCAAAATGAGGCCGTTCTTGACAATGGTGGTGCCTAGACACCCAGGGCCATCATTTTGAGGCCACCGAGCTGACCACACGGTGCACAAAGGACCCCGCGGTGTCTGTTTCCCAAGCTCTGAGCACCTGCCAGTGCCCTACCTGCCCCATCATGGAGCCGTGGCACAGAGAGGGCCTCGCTGTTCTGGTAGCTGCATTCCGGGGCTTTCTTGTCATAGTGTTTGTTGTAAACAAGGCTCCAGAGTGAAGCTGATAAAACTGTGCAGGAAGCTGGATGGGACACCGCCTGGGTCGCGTCTCACAGCCCTGTG